CGCCCGCGCGCCGGCCGCCGCCGCGAACGGCGACGCGGGCCCCGAGTTCTCCCGGATCACCGTCTCGGACCCGAAGAAGCACGCGGAGCCCGTCTCCGGGGCCGCCGGCGTCATCCCCGGCTCAGGGAGCTACTTCTCCTACCTCGTCACCACGCGCCTCGCCGACGGCGCCGACGAGGTCCGCGTGCGCCGCCGCTTCCGCGACGTCGTCGCCCTCGCCGACCGCCTCGCCGCGGCCCACCGCGGCCTCTTCGTGCCTGCCCGCCCCGACAAGAGCCTCGTTGAGGGCCAGGTCATGCAGCGCCACGACTTCGTCAGCCAGCGCTGCACCGCGCTCCAGCGCTACCTCCGCCGGCTGGCCGCGCACCCCGTCGTCGGCCGCAGCCCTGACCTCCGCACCTTCCTTACCGAGCCCGGCGCCATCGCCGCCTTCCAAGGCGAGGCGCCGCGGCACTGGACCACCACGGTGAATGCCGCCATCCCAACGGTCCCGGCCAAAGCTGGGAGGGACTTATTTGGGATGTTTAAGGATTTGAAGCAGACCGTTGTCAATGGGTTGGTGGCCACGAAGCCACCGCCTGTGGAGGAGGAGACTGATACAGAATTCCTGTCGCACAAGTCCAGGCTCGAGGACTTGCAACAGCAGCTCACAACGACGTCTCAGCAGGTGCTTGTACCACCGTCATCTCTCTTGCTTCCCAGACATAGTATCATTATCGTGCATAGACAACCTGCACTAGGTGGTATATCAAAGCTCAAAAGCAGATCAAACAGTCTCATATAACTTAAGTAACATCAATCTTATAGGAAGCTGTTACTTGCTTCATTCTTTTATCACCTAGGGTAAATCTAATTACCAAACGGTCTTAGTGCATGACCATCTGAGCGCCATTGATGGGAGGATGAATGAATATCAAGAGATGAAGGGGGAGGGGGAGGGAGAAGGGGAAGGAGCAGGAAGAGGGAGTGGGGCCTGACCTCAACTCTGACCACCACCGCAGACGGGAATACGTTGCCCTGTGTTTATTTCTTATGCGTGGCAGCACAATTAGCACTTTATATAAATTTATGTACTGTTTATAATTATTTAACTCATGTTCGTAAGATGGTTTCTTTCAATTCCTCAAGCTAATTAGCTAAACAGTGGTTCAAATTTCACAACAATTTTTCGTGGTGGTTATGATCCCTGGCTATTTAAGACTTTTTAGATCGAACCCAGGCTATTTTAACTTTTTTTAGATCAAACCCTGGCTATTTTAACTATTATTGGCATTCGATAGTTTTAGGTTTTGCCAACATATGTAGTCATAGCAGAAAATTCTGACACTGATTCATGGGCGATGATGTGATCTGTTGGAAAGTTCTGAGGTCGGTCGGTTCAGTTCATCTTTAAATATTTAATAAGGCATTTGTGTGCAGAGGGCTACAAATCTTCTGGCTCCTCTTGTTCTGAGTCATTTCAGCTCGCGCCTTTACTTATTTTGATTGATATAGGAACCGGCTGCAGCCAACAAACATGAACACACTTTCAGCGGCCAAATAAAATTTCTATATGGACCATCTTACCTTCATTTTTCTAATGAATGACTAGGTTACTCTGATCTAGATGGTACTTATCTAATGCTCTGGTTTACGAAAGAATGAAAATTGAGTTTACTTTTCCATGGAGTTGACAAATTGGCCTATCAGAAGCAGTGTTACTAGACCCGGCCTTTGCCACCGACCTGGTTAAGGCCTCTTGGGGCCACTGGCCGGACCACATATTTTTGCTTATGTATAAAATGGTATGTGAACATACATGCATGATGTTTTATCAGAGAAGTAGCAACATATGGTATTCACCTTATATGCTTGAGGAATTTATGACATATACTCCCTCCGTTCCTAAATATAAGTCTTTTTAGGCATTTCAAATGGACTACAACATATGGATGTATGTAGACATATTTTAGAGTGTAGATTCACTCATTTTGCTCCGTATGTAGTCACTTGGTGGAATCTCTAGAAAGACTTATATTTGGGAACGGAGGGAGTAGTAGATAGCATGACATATTGAATAGTTGCCTCCAAAATAGTGCAATGTCAAGTTCTCTTGGTACATAGATAGAAATGTGCTCCATTCCACTTTATGGTCTTCCTTTTTTGTTATCTGCAGAATAAGTCTTGAAACGCCTATTCTGTTCTTGCGCACTCACAGTTTTCATAAAACTTTTGGAATGGTATGTTCTGGTTCAGGAAACTACTATTGTTATATTCTAATTTTGCATTTTATATAGGCGGAATCACTTGTTAAAGCTCAGGATGATCTTCGAACAACGACAGCTCATTTGGGAATGACATTGATTAAACTGGCAAAATTTGAAAGGGAGCAGGCAACATGTAATTCCGAGAGAAGACGGGCTGGTGTTATCCAACATTTTGCAAATTCTGTTGTCAAGTTCAGCAGATCTCAGGCAAAATTAAATTCTGAAGTTGTACAACAGCTGGTATGTGCATATGCCACAAACTCAAATAGACATGAATACTCCCTCTGTCCCTAAATAGGTGGCGTATAAATTCAGTTAAGAAGTTAATTATTTCCAAGTTCGACCAAATATATGGAAGAAACTATCAACAACTACAACATTCAATAAATATATATGAAAGTATATCTAATGGTGGATATATTGATATTAATTTGGTATTGTTTATCTTCATATTTTTGTATATATGTTTGGTCTAACTTAGAAGACATTGAGTTTTTGACTCAATTTATACGTTATCTATTTGGGCACAGTGAGGGAGTATTGTATCTTAGAATTTCGTATGTATTTTATCATAACAGTGAAATATTTATGGGTATGCAGGATACTATCCATGAATACTTGGAGATGATGATATCTGTTAATCATGCGTTTACTGATCGTTCAAACGCTTTACAACATGTGCAAAGTCTGTCAGCAGATCTGTTTTTCTTGCACACTAGGGCAGGAAGACTTGAATCTGTATCATCAAGAGGTATTGGGCAGGAATGGACAAGGTATCAGAAGATAGAGGGATTGAAAGAAACAATAAGCACAAGAGAAGGAGTGAAAAACCAAGCTCTTAGAGAATATGAAAGTATTAAGGTAAACTGCCAAAAATTGTGAAGTGATATTGTTCTTTTGGAAAACTTATGGAGCATGAAGTTATATGGAAAAATGGAAAATCATATAGAAGAAAACAAAAGCTTAAGATAAATGTTCTCATTGGATGGTTTATTAATGAAAACTGGCGCACGTCCTCAACCAAGTCTGTTGACCAAGATAGTAGTACATGCTAGAATAATTGTCCTAAAGATTAATATTCTTGTGATAGCTGCACACATAATCGAATAATATTAGGCATGAGTAGCATATTTTTGAAGCTTCTAAACATTATAAGAGGCATTGCTGCTATGTTTGTGAATACAAAATACCAACTAGAAAAGCAGTTTGTTCAAGTCAAGTCATTATCCTTCAATATTATGCCTTTGAAAATCAGAACAAAATTTAGGATTACCGTCACCATGATGTAGGTTGGTGGCTAACATGTAGTTGAACTATGTTTGTCCATAAGTATATTCTGTTACCTTTTCTGGTTGACACATTCTGCAGGAAAGCATAGCTACAGCTGGGATTAATACAAAGGAGGGACGAGTTCTAGCTAGTGAAACTATGTACTCCCTCCGTTCCTAAATATTTGTCTTTCTAGAGATTTCAAAAAGTGACTACATACGGAGCAAAATAAGTGAATCTACACTCTAAAATATGTCTATATACATCCGTGTGTGGTAGTCCATTTGTAGTCTCTAAAAAGACAAATATTTAGGAGCGGAGGGAGTACATGCTAATCCACATATAATGTGTTAGTTGAGCTATTGCTGCTGCAAAAAAAAATAATTCTCTTCAATTTTTTAAGAGTTCCCAAAATTTAAATGACTGATCAGGTAGATTATGTATGCATACTAGGCTTTCTATGATAACATATTGCTTTGCTTTAAGAGATCCCAGAGGGTGGTCTTTGTCTTTGTGCTAAGATCCTGGGAGTGGATCATCACGTATGTGCGTCTTTTTTGGAGTTTCAACATGTATTTTCAGGGTATGCGGACAATGGTACAAACTGCAGGATCATTTTTTGAGTTAGAAAAATGGGTGGAGGTTGATTTCTTGTGTGGAGTTGGCACATCAATTTTTTGCAGGCCTCTGGGATGTTGGGAGTGTGTGTTACTGAATTTTGGAACCATGCTGCATCCGAAAGAATTATAATTTCGCCCTTCTGCCATTTACCTTCTCTATATTGAATGCAGGAAAATAACATGACTGAAATTAAAAGATTTGACAAGGATAGGCGTCGGGATCTTATTGAGATGCTGAAAGGATATGTTGTAAACCAGGTATGAATGTACTGCACAATTTTGACCATGAAATGTGTGGCAGGAACTGCAACAGCGTCGTTGAACAGAAATAACCTCTTTGATATGAATTGGCAGGTCTCATATTCGGACCATTTTGCTAATATGTGGGGAAAGGTCGCAGAGGAAACTAAAGTATACGCAAACAGGAGCAACTGATGCAGGCATGCAGCTTTGGTGTACAGTACTAGTATAGCAGTGGATTTTGCCCCTGACTTGAACACCGGCACAACCTTTCCTTTGTTCTCTCCAGTTTTGCCATTGTGATGCAACCTCCTCCTGAGATCTGTACAATTGCGCGATAATTTATTGCGGCTACCCGGTCTTGTTATAGACAAGGGACAGAAAAAAGAGAGGTGAAACAGGAGCACACGATCTTTCTCTATTGCCACGATGAAATGTTTGGTGGCACAGGAGTAGCATCTGGTTTGCATCGTGCCAGTGGCAAACACAACAAATCCAGCTTTCACACGCTGCCGACTGCTGACTGGGCTGGCTGGCGAGCGTGTGGCTGGCTATCTTTACTTATCCAAATGTGCATTTGGAGACCACAGTTGCCCACATGCACTTTTTTATTCTTCTCTGCATACCCATTGCCAAGTTTGGGAGTTGCGTGGTATCTCTGCCCTACTAGTATTTCAATTCTCTTCTGCTTAATTAATCGATGAGGCAAATCTTTTGCCTCCGTTCCAAAAAAAAAGTATTTCCCTCGTCGTCTTGTGCGCATGTCCAGTAGGAATCGCGTCGATGTGGATGGCCTGGTGCCAAGCTTACATGATGTGGCTGAGGAGTGTTCAACCATTGAAATCCTACCAGCGTCACAGATTCAACTGAGTTTGTCACCAAAATTTAAGTTCTTTTTGCTAGTTTTGATTGAAATCCCAAAAATTGCCTGTAAAATAGTCCCGCAAGTTAAAACATTTTAGGCGAAAAGTGCTGCCGACATATGGTTTTATTTGAAAAATTAATAAAGCTCCAAATTGCCAGAACACAAATTCAAATCAAAATCTAAGTGAGTTTATCCATCACCACAACCACAAAGGGAAGAAGAGTTTCACTAGTCTAAGCACAAGAGATCGTTGCTCCCCCGCCCCCGCGGCCGCGGTGCTGCCGGCGAAGCGGAGCTCCGAAAATGTCCCACGCGCCGCTCAGAAACGCCGCCGCCTCCTTCAAACCGCTCCTCCCGTCTCCCCGCTCCCGCCTCAGCACCAAGCCCCTCAACTCCGGCGCCGCCCCCTCCCCCCGCCGCAGCGTCTCCGCTTCCGCATCCTCCCGCCGTGACTTCCTCCTCCTCATCCCCTCCCTCGCCGCCGCCTCCGCGGTGCTTCGCGCGCCCCCCGCCGCTGCCGCCGACGACCAGGCGTCCCCCCCATCGCCTCCCGCCGAGTCTCCGGCCCCCGCCCCGCCGCCCCCGACGAAGGAGAAGGAGCCCGAGGGCGACGAGTCGGCCGTGTCGAGGGTGTACGACGCGACCGTCATCGGGGAGCCGCAGGCGGTGGGGAGGGAGGCCAAGGGCCGGGTGTGGGACAAGCTGGCGGCCGCCAGGGTCGTCTACCTCGGCGAGGCCGAGCTCGTGCCCGACCCCGACGACCGCGTCCTCGAGCTCGAGATCGTCACCAAGCTCGCCGCCCGCTGCGCCGACGCCCAGAGGCGCATGTCCCTCGCGCTCGAGGCCTTCCCCTGCGACCTCCAGCAGCAGCTCGACGACTTCATGCGCGGAAGGTGCGCTGCACCCCCTTACACAATTTTAATCAAGTTATCCGGAGAATTGCTTCCGATAAGAACATGGTTCACCTGCTTGCAACCGCATGTCGAGAAATCGCTGGAATTTTAGTTCTGTTTGCTTGACGCTTGTTGGACATTACGGGTTCATATTATGGTTCATTGACATTTCTTTGTCTTAGGAGATTGGGGTGCTCATAGAATTGAACTCTGATCTCTCTAATTTTCCATCCTGTTGGCATAATCTGCGACTAGCAAGAGCTGTGGTTAAGATTGTAAGGGCCAGGCCTGAACAACAGTGCCACTTGGAAGTTGGAACCACCAGAGTCATAGACTGACAGGGAAACCTTTTTTCAAACTCTGGTGCTTGAGATCAGTTTGGGTAACACATAGAGCTTGGGATTTCTCTATCTTCGCTTGGAGCGCTGATTAGTGATGTGGAGCTGTGGACATGTCTGTGCCTTTCTGATTTGTTGTGAGACATGCAATGCATTAAATAACTACCAGGCTAGTACGTTAACCCTCCTACGTTGCTACTCTGTTCCATTGAATCTGTATTTATTCACAATGTTTTATTTTCAATAGATGAAGTACACCTGGTGTCCACTTAGATGAATAGGCAATGTATCTTTTGCTCCTTAACATCTTATTTTTACTATAAGAATATAATGGAAGTTATATGAGTTACATCTCTGTTTCTACTCCCTCCGTTCAGAATTACTTGTCGCAGAAATGGATGTATCTAGACGTATTTTAGTTCTAGATACATCCATATCCGAGACAAGTAATTCCGAACGGAGGGAGTATTTAACAGTGCAGTTAATGCAGTGTTTCTATCGCAATTAAAGTTATAGGATTTCAATGCTGATGGACATTTCATCTTCCTGAAGAATCTGTTATCCACAAATGATATGCATTCTTGAGTGAGACCGCACTCCATTTTTTGTAACATTCTACAAGCTTATGCTTTATGTAGGATTGATGGCAGCATCTTAAAGTTGTACACGTCGCACTGGCCATCAGAGCGTTGGAAGGAGTATGAACCTCTTCTAAATTTCTGTCGTGATAAGGGAATTAAGCTTGTTGCTACTGGAACCCCACTGCAGGTGATTGATAGCTTTTATAATCTATTCACTGTCTATTCAACAGTTCGCAGGAACTTGTAACATTTTATTACCAATACCATTGTGCACTAGCGATTCAAATTCTTCTAATTTCTGACACCTGCAAAGTTTTTCCTTGATGCCTATGTGTTAATCTTATATCCATACTTTAGATTGCAGTTGTTGTGCCACATCCTGTGAACAGTTTTTCTGCAGCTTGCTGCAACTGCTTTAGCAGGCATGGGCGCTATTGAGTACCTAGACAACTCGGCATAAATTATTCAATGAGTCTAATTCCGAAAACCATGATATAACTTGCATACTGTTATGTTGTGCATACTACTTAACCTATGAATATGAGTAGAATTTAACGTTCCCTTATTGAGTAGGTGAAAAGAACTGTCCAAGCAGAGGGGATTGGAGGCCTTTCAAAAGCAGAAAGAAAGGAATATGCTCCTCCGGCAGGCTCTGGCTTCATTTCTGGTTTTAGGTCTGGCCGGTCATTCATAGAGAATATTACATCAACTCGTGACTCTCCTTTTGGTCCGAATTCATATTTATCAGCACAAGCAAGGGTAGTTGATGATTATACCATGTCTCAGATAATTATGAAAGAACTTAATGGTAAAGATCCTCCAGGGATACTAATTGTTGTGGCAGGTGCAAGCCATCTTATATATGGGTCACGAGGAACTGGTGTTCCTGCCAGAGTATCTAAAAAGTTGCCGAAGAAAGATCATGTTGTGGTACTACTTGATCCTGAAAGACAGAGTATAAGGAGGGAAGGTCAAATCCCAGTTGCTGATTTCTTATGGTATTCAGCGGCTAAAATTTGCAGTAGAAATTGCTTTGACCGTGCCGAAATTGCTAGAGTTATGAATGCTGCTGGCAGGAGGCCTGAAGCTTTACCCCAGGTATTTAATGAAAGCAGTCATGGTCAGATCTCTATTAGTAAAAAAAAAAACTGTGGCCAAAACATTTCCTTATCGTCGCACCATCGGATTTGTATAGTTTTGCTAATGGAACTCTTTCACTGAACTATTGCAGGATCTTCAGAAAGGAATAGATCTTGGAGTTGTTTCTCCTGAGATATTGCAGAACTTCTTTGACCTTGACAAAAACCCTGTTATGACTGAACTAATTCACCGATTCCAAGTAAGGAACTTTTCATTGATTCTGTTTTGCTCCGTGGTCCTTTCCACCTATATATCTTGTTAATTTATCTGATTGGTGTTGCTGGAAATCCTCTGAGATTTTGAAGCACATGCTGTTCTTGACTTGAAAACAGAATAAATATTGTAGCTATTGTTAAATAAATAAGACTCCATTATATACAGATTCATTCAAGCCAATCAACTGTTGCAGGGTTTCCGGGAAAGATTGCTCGCAGACCCAAAATTCCTTCAAAGATTAGCAATTGAAGAGGCTATATCAATTTCAACCACTCTACTAGCACAGTACGAAAGACGGAAAGGGCGATTTTTTGAGGAAATTGACTATGTCCTCACTGATACTATTAGAGGGTCTGTTGTCGATTTTTTTACAGTGTGGCTACCTGCTCCAACTATTTCAGTGCTTTCTTTTACCGATGATGATTCTGGTCAGAGCTTGGGCTTTGTCAAAGGCCTTCTGGGATCATTGCCAGATAACGCGTTCCAAAAGAATACCTTTGGTCGGAATTGGAATATGAACCAGAGGGTCGCCGCAGTAATAGTTGGTGGTTTGAAACTTGCTGGTGTTGGGTTTATTTCTGGTGTTGGGGCTGGAGTTTCCTCAGATCTCCTGTATGCTGCTCGAGGATTGCTGAAACCTTCAGCGAGTGTGGGAGCAGGGCGAAAGAGAGCTCCTGTTTTGAAGTCGGCAGCTGTTTATAGTTGCTTTCTTGGAACATCAGCAAATTTGCGGTATCAGGTAACTTGTTGGAATAACTTAGTTGCTTTCAGTTGAAAGGTTTAGGTTATGTTTTGTTGTGAAAGTATGAAACCTTGACCTCAAATTTACATCTTTCTACCCGAGTGGTACCCAAGGTGTATAACTAAATATCATTTTTAGATAGAAGTAACTAATTATCATTAATCCTGATTAGATATATTGATCTTTTGAGTTGCATAAGTAACTAAAGTTCCGGGCATAAGTTGGTTATTGTTGAAATGTACTGCTTATAAATAACCTTCTTTGTGTTTAAGTCTCGGTATGGGTACTCGAAACATTTTTGCTTATTTGCAACCAGTGCTCCAGAATCTGGTAATAGATTTTCTGCATTTCGAACGTGCTCCAGTGAAAAATTGATCCATTTCCAGCTTATGTACTTATTTAGTTATAGGCCTCCTTTATCTAATTTTTTTACTGTATTCATGTTGAAGATCATTGCTGGCTTATTGGAGCATCGACTAGGAGAGAGCCTGGCAACTCAGTATAATCAGCCACTTCTTGCTGGTCTCTTGTCCTTTGTAGCAAGGACAGTCAACTCATACTTGGGAACACAGGTTGGACACTTCATCTTCTAAGATTTGTGGTGCTGGTAGCATACTGTAGTCTCAAACTGTTTACCCTAAACAAACAGAACACTAAAGAGTAAGCGACATAAATATTCCATAACAAGAAAGCTGAGAAGAGTGTGGTTAGCTCATATTGTTGTGAGGAGATCATCATCCATTCATTATTTTTCATACTTATTATTGGATGGTGCTTCTATGTTATCTTAGAAAGTAATCTGCATACCTTTCGGATTTTTCAAGCAAGCGATATGTTTATTAAAGGTCCCTAGCACTAGCACATCTGCCTTTCTCCCTCCTCACTTGCTACTATGTTCGCTGCAGCAATGGGTTGATCTTGCTCGGTACACTGGAGTACAGAAGATTCAGGAACAGCTTCCTTCCGATGAGGTCACCACACCACCTGAAACATCCCAGTTAGAGGACGGTAGAACCGATGTACAGAACCCGGATGAGAGCAGCAGCAGCAACGCAGACCGATCGAGTGACCCGACCAAGTGATTTGGTTGCTTTCCGTGGCTACAAAGTCCCCAACCATATATGTATATAGGTTCAAGACAGCGAAAGGAGTCTTGTTGCTACGATGCTGAGCCTCACTCTTGGATCGGCCAGGAATGGACTATTCATATGAGAAAAACAATAAAATACTGCAGTTAGCCATTTTTTCTAGAGTAAATATACTCTTGTAGTTTGTACTCACTCCATAAAGAAATATAAGAGCGTTTAGATCACTACTTTAGTAATCTATAAACGCTTTTATATTTCTTTACAGTGGGAGTACATATGTAAGGAGAAGACGATGAGTGTCTAGTGGATTAATTGGCATGGGCAATTACGGGCTTTGAGTTGTAGACTTAAATCTGCTGTGGGAACCCACGATTGCCATCCATTTATATATAGCCAGGTTCAAGACAATTAAAAGAGTCTCTTTGCTACTCTTTGATCAGCCAGGAAGGGACTACTTTATCTGAAAGAAGCATGAATTAGTATAGTTCTCAGTCAGTCATTTTTCTAGAGTAACAAATATACTGCTGTACTTTGTACTTTTATACGTATGCAAGGAGAAGAGAACACGATCGGTATCTCGTGGATTGGCAATTCGCAGCAGCAATTAAGGGCCGTGAGTCGCAACTTTAATCTGCTGCAAATTCAGATTAGTTTGAAATAGTATTGGATGATTAAGGGGTAGAAAGTTTGGCATAGGCCTCTACATGTTACAATCAAATCTTTCTGCCTGCTATAAAGCCAACTTTATTTCCTCGTCATCGTCCAGAGAGACGGCAGGTAAGCAAGTTCGTTCTGGTCCCTTGAGCCAAGTGACAAATTTTGCCGTGTTGCTGGCCACCTATATGGGTTCTGGCGAGTTCTCGCAGTGCAACCCGTGCTCCATGCACCGGAGCACGGTGACACACATGCACCCTAGGCGGTGACCTCCCGCCATCTGTCCATGGATGCAGATGTACGTGGCATCTCTCCCTAGAACTCTCCATCCCTATATATTCCAGCGCGAAGCCGTATCTCCTTCCTCGGTGGAATAAAGAAGTTGCTCACGGACATTGGAAAGGAGAGAAGACTTGAGAAGAGAAGAGAGGTTTGAGATTCAGAAGGCGCGATCGATCATGGCGAGCGCCAAGGCGACGATGGGGCAGGAGAAGCAACAGCACTTCGTCCTCAAGAGCGGGCATGCCATGCCGGCCGTCGGATTGGGCACCTGGAGGGCTGGATCGGATACTGCCCACTCCGTTCAGACGGCCATCACCGAGGTATGTATATCGCCATGCCCTCGCTTGGGCTTTCAGATACAGTTTTACACCACAGAACTCTGGTGCGTGCTTACGTGCAGAGTCATGCAGATTGTATTTCGATGTGGGTAACTTACGGCGTGTTTCAAGCATCTGAATTTTGATCGTTGTTTTGGTCACTTCATAGGTGTACAAACTTGGTCCCTGAGAGGGTGCGTCCAGCATTAGAGAACACGCTCAAGGATCTACAGTTGGACTACATCGATCTTTACCACGTAAGAAATATAAAACCAGTGACTTCTTTTGCATGCAAATTTCTTGCTCTCATTGTTGCCTTGTCCGGCAATAAAGGACAGTGTAGTTCTTAATTGTTTATAGCTTTATTGCTATTATCTTGTATACTTCAGTTACCGGTTCTTTCTATGGATATATTAATTATTAATAATTAACAAAATGAACGCAGATCCATTGGCCGTTCCGGCTGAAAGATGGGGCACACAAGCCTCCGGAAGCAGGGGAGGTGCTGGAATTCGACATGGAGGGGGTGTGGAAGGAGATGGAGAACCTTGTCAAGGACGGGCTGGTTAAGGACATCGGCGTCTGCAACTACACGGTGACCAAGCTCGACCGGCTGCTACGGTCTGCAAAGATTCCGCCGGCCGTTTGCCAGGTTGAGAACCCTCAGATTTGATCAGTAACGCGACATTTACCGAAACCGATTTTTTGACCGTAGTGATGTTTGCTACTTGCTTCATCTGACAGATGGAAATGCACCCTGGCTGGAAGAACGACAAGATGTTCGAGGCCTGCAAGAAGCGCGGGATCCATGTCACCGTAAGATATATTTCTTCTGAAACTGAGATATGATCAATTGACCTCGCTGGTGTAATAATATCTTAGCAGCCTATTGGTTTCCAAAACGGAAGTGCTAAAGGGTATTCTTGTTTTCCTTGTGCAGGCTTACTCCCCACTGGGTTCTTCAGAGAAGAACCTTGCGCATGACCCGGTTGTTGAGAAGGTGCGTATGTTCAGAAATGTACCGTCTACCGTGTACTAGTAGCTCAATCTAAGGGTTGAACTGCAGGTGGCCAACAAGCTGAACAAGACCCCGGGGCAGGTGCTCATCAGGTGGGCTCTGCAGAGGGGAACGAGCGTCATTCCCAAGTCGAGCAAAGACGAGAGGATCAAGGAGAACATCCAGGTGTTCGGGTGGGAGATCCCTGAGGAGGACTTCAAGGTCCTGTGCAGCATCAAAGATGAGGTGAGCGATTGGGACACTTACTCCGTCTTGATCACAGTGCAAATGCGGTGAAATGAAAGCAGCGTCACAATTTCGACACGACTTGGAACGCAGCTGCTGCTGCGTTTGCGTGGCAGTTAGCAGTACACACCACCTGAATCTGGATCCCGTCTATTAGAAAAAACTGCATGCCTGTCACCCTAAATATGGTAGCAGCAGTAACACAGAGACACTTGCCGCGGTTGGTCGATCTGTTGGTTCTAGATAATACTACTGGCCGCATATGTTTAGTCGTTTCTTCAGGGTATCTTGCAGGCCGGCCAGTGAGATAAAACCAGTTTAGGCCCGAGGAACGACGTAGTAATATACTAGTACAATAGATTCCAGATAGAGAATCGTTCCATCTGTTTTACTGTGGATGCTACAGTACCTTTTTAAGTGTAAATATCCCTACTTGCACTCTAGAAACTACTAATCCTGTCAAGTTAAGTTATTAGAAGAAGAAGATTTAGCCGTACGTTTTCCATCTGAATCTGATGTAAGCGCCTTTTTGTTGTCGCAGAAGCGTGTGCTGACCGGGGAGGAGCTGTTCGTGAACAAGACCCACGGGCCATACAAGAGCGCGTCCGAAGTCTGGGATCACGAGAACTGAGCTCCCATCAACCATCATGCATGCATGCTGAAGAAGCGCAGCGCAGATGATACGAATAACGGGTGCTGAAGAAGCGTGAGATCATCGGACGGCATGCATGCTCTTTCCGTATGCTCCGCAAGCAAAGCATGGTGGCCCTTGTTCCTGCATGCTTTGCTTCCTGTGGTGTTTTTGCATTGTTTCTCCATGCTACTAGTAAGCATGCCCTTGTTCCAAGCATGCAAGGCCGCCGAGATGAGATTCATCAGCGTTCTGCATTTGGTAGGATCCAAATGTGCTGTCTCCCACACCACACCACACCAACCATCGTACCTACTCTAGAAAGTTGTAAAACCATTGCTTGGACCACTGATGAAACGCCTGTGATCGTGCTTAATCAAATGGAACGAACGCGGGTGCAGGCGCTAGTGGAATTATAGTACGCAGAGATCCGGGCAGCACGGGGTGTACCCGTGTACGGTAGAGAGGTCGAAAGGACGGGGCCGTACCCGTATGCACGGCTATTTTCCTCTCAAATAATATCAGCTCCATGTACGGGAGAGGTATCTGTAGACGACGACCACATGGCCACCCTAGGCGGGGCCCGGAGGCAGTAGCGCAGGGTTGACTGACATGGTGGCAGGCAGGGCCGGGCACGGGCAGTGGTGGTGGTGGTCCAAGGAGGAGGGAGGAAGGAATATAGGCTAGGCTCGAGCCCAAATGAGAGATTGGATCTTGTGGCCGGACGCCACCCCGCCGAGGTGGTCGGTGGCGGGCGCCGTGTGTTGCTGCGACAGATGCCCTCGGAGCCCATGAAGCTTCGTGGCTGCTTCCTCCCCGGCTCCTTTCCTGCCATCTGCCGCTCTTCTCGAGTCGGCCAAGCACGTTCGCATAGGCCGGCCGGTCAAATACACGAGCTCGCGGTTTTGCGCGGCCAGGCAATGCGTGCTCAGTTTTCATGTGCCACCACGTAACGAATATTCATGCGCCTCGTAACCAAAATCCTGGTGCCATGCCACGCCGGTTTTCAGCTGGTTTTTCTTCTCCTTCTAAAACGGAATAAGTCATTCACGTGGTCCTAGATCATCGATTTATTAAAGAATAAATATGTGTTATATGGCATGAAAAGTATATCGCTAGATTTTTAATGATGTAGTTTTTAAATACATATTTTTTTGACACATATAATACATATTTAGATATTTAAATCATCAACATAAAACTACGCGAATGACTTATTCATCGAGACGGAGGTAGTACTAGATGCACAAGCAGCTCCATGCTCAATCAATACCAAGTGTCACATCGTCTTCAACCACACGTAGCAAAGTGAGGCATCAAACGTTCATGGACGCGTCCGGCCGCGTTCATGGATGGTCATCGGTCACCCTTCATATTTCACACGGTCACCAAGCTCAACCATCTGCTATGGTCTGCAAAGATTACACCAGCCGTCTGCCAGGTTGAGGGCCCTCAAATTTAATGAGTAGCCCTTCATATTTCACACTTCACAACCACACTCCCCATTTTAAGATTTTCATTTCTTTGCAAAGACATGCAACAACCATGATCTATGCTACGAACCATTGGTAAACTACCATCTACACTACTCGTCATCAGATATGTCGATAAAGTTTTTGTCAGAGTGCTGGCCTCATGGTCATTGGAGGCCGGGCGAAACGGGGGCACCTCCTCGTCGTTCTGGTCGGACTCCAAGGCCTCGTCGACCTCCAATGCTCCCTCGTAGAGAAAACGGTGGTTGGCCTTCACCTTCACCTCCGAGTGGATGGATTCGAGGATGGCCCGCTGCTCCGTCGCCTCCTAGCTTGGGCAAGCTCAAACTTCGCAAGCACGTCCTTCATCCTGAATTCGGGCGGGACCGGCGCCGATGCCTTCCCCTCGTCGTCTGACAGCGGCTCCTCTGAGTCCTCCCGCAGTGGCACCACCATCTCTGTCACCTCCTCCTACTCTGGTGCCTCCACCTTCATGTGCTCTAGCAACTCCTCGTCGGGACTATCCGGAGGCAGGCCGGCCACAATGCGTGCGGTGGGACATGCGGCGCGAGCCTCCTCCGCGCCCCGCATCTCCATCTGGATCTCCGCACGCCTCCCTTTATAGAAGTTGTTCGGGTGGACGCCTTGGAGCCGTTGGTGCGTGGTACAACCGCTAGTATAAGCGCGTGCGCTCGTATCATGCACCGTCTTCTGTCCTGGATGCGTAGTGTTGACTTGCCTTGCTACCACACTTCATGTTTTCTTCTATGTGACACATTCTTCCATGTTTCAGCCCATTTTTAGTGAAAACACATCAAACAAAGGATTTCGCAATTCCTTGCATTCATTAGTCATTAGTAGCTATATCGAAGTGATTCTCTAGGAAATTTTGGGATTATCTGGTTTAAACAACAGTGTGATGAGTGCAAAAATATTAATCATCAAGCATCAACCAGTTGTAGGTCGGTAGTGACGACTCCGCTGCGTCTGAGTGACTATCCAGGGGCTCCTATCTTAGTCGGACAATCCAGGTGCTTTGTTGGACATTTCAACTCGATGTATCTTTGCATCCCGCTTTTGTTGTCAGGACATTCTGGGATCTATCCGCCCTTGTGTTCGAGGTGCTCCTCCTAGCGCCAGCCTATCGAGTGTCATGTCCTGGACAATATGATTGGCTAGTGGCAATTGTTCTTTCAGGCCTTGATACGTCTTCAACGTATATATAATTTATGAAGTATTTATGATATGTTTACAACAATTTTATATGGTTTTGGTATGATTTGATTAGAACTAACCCGGACTGACGTTGTTTTTAGCCGAACTATTGTGGTGTCGTTTTTTTGTGTAGAAATAAAAGTTCTCAGAATGGGCTAAAAACTTACGGGGATTTTTTATGGACCAAAAGAGACCCCCGAAGCACCAGAGTCGGGCCAGAAAGTGACCGAGGAGGCCACAAGCCTAGGGGCGTGCCCCCGGCTTGTGGGCCTCTCAGGCAACCCCATAACTTGTTTCTGACGCCAAAAATCCTTATAAATACGGAAACCCCGAAAAGAACCCTAGATCGAAAGTTTCGCCGCCGCAAGCTTCTGTAGCCACGAAAAACCAATCGGGAGCCCGTTCCAGCACCCTGTCGGAGGGGGAAATCATCACCAGAGGCCATTTTCATTATCCCGGTGGCCTCCATGACGAGGAGGGAGTAGTTCACCCTCGGGGTTGAGGGTATGTACCAGTAGCTATGTGTTTGATCTCTCTCTCTCTCGTGTTCTTGATTTGGCACGATCTTACTGTACCGCGAGCTTTGTTATTATAGTTGGATCATATGGTGTTTCTCCCTCTCTATCTTTTTGTGATGAATTGAATTTTACCTTTGAGGTTTCACTATTATCGGATTGAATATTTTTATGAATTTGAGAAGACTTGATGTAAGTCTTGCGTGGGATACCCGTGATGACAATGGGGTGTTCTATTAATTCACCTGATGTATGTTTTGGCACTCAACTCGCGGATTCTCAAAGTGACATTGGGATAATCTATGCATAGGGGTTGATGCATGTTTTCATCCTTGTTTCTCCGGTAGAAATCTTGGGGCACTCTTTAAGGTTATTTGTGTTGGACTGAATATTATGAATCTGAAGTTGTTTGATGCATATTGTATAATTGACCCACGGATACTTGTGGTGACATTGGAGTATCTATGTGACATTTGGTTGATTGAGTGTTTTTATATGGTGTTATTTTAGTATGAACTCTAGGGCTGTTTGTTACACTTATAGGAATAGCTCAAAAGATTGATCAGAAATAATAATTTTGAGGTGGTTTCGTACCCTACAAGCAATTTCATGTTATGTTCCCCGTGATAGGAACTTTGGAGTGACTTTTTTTTGCATGTTGAGGGATTCCTATATGATTTAATTATGTTATCATTGTTGAGAGAATTTGCACTAGTGAAAATATGAACCCTAGGCCTTGTTTTCAAGCATTGTAATACCATTTTTGCTCATTTTTGTTACTAGTATACCTTGCTGTTTTTTTAGATTACAAAAACATATATCTACCATCCATGTTACACTTGTATCACCATCTCTTTGCCGAACTAGTGCGCCTATACAATTTATCATTGTATTGGGTGTGTTGGTGACACAAGAGACTCTTTGTTATTTAGTTGCAGGGTTGTTTGAGAGAGATTATCTTCATCCTACGTCTCTCACAAATTAATAAACCTTAGGTCATCCACTTGAAAAAAATGCTACTGTTCTATAAAACTCTGCGCTTCGAGGCCCAACACGAGTCTACAAAAAGGAGGTTACATAGTAGACATCATGCCTCACACTTTGGGGAAGGGGCTTCTTGACCATTCTCTTCCATGCTTCCCTCTCTCAGACCTGTATACTCAGAAGATAAGAATGTCTAGTGGCATACCATCCTCAAGTGTAGTATATAGGCAAATATAAAGCAAAAGGTTAACTTTTGTAAGCAAACATATGTCACTTTGCATTGTACATGGTGATGTCCGTAAAATCTGGCATACCAACTATAGGTTCACAGTAATAGCTATGTAACAAATTTTTGTGTGTGCTTCAATTGTCTAGATTATATTAGCCTCACTATGTAACTATGATTATTTATGTATTTCTTTGTGGTCATATTATCATGGTTGTATGTACTCCATCCGTTCCTGAATATAAGTATTTTTTAGAGATTTCAATGCAGACTACATACAGATGTGCATAGACGTACTTTAGAGTGTAAATCCACTCATTTTGATCCGTATAGTCCATAGTGGAATCTCTAGAAAGACTTATATTTAGGAACAGAGGCAGTATTATTTATAGATCATATTGCTTCTGTTCTATTAGTCTAATCATTGAGCAGTTTAAGAGTAAGTACTTGAGAGGAATGGATGGCTATGAGTAACACTACATGTATGGAAAATTTCTAATGGATGGAACCTACCAATGATGTAGAGGCACATGCGTTGAAATAAGAGGGGTTCATAGAGGATTATCGAGAGAAGGACACATACCTCTC